CCTTAAGTAGTCAATCAAATTTTCATTAGGAAAAAAATATATAGCAACTTTCTTTTGTGGGAACTTATAGATGCTGCTTTATGTAACAGCTGAGTCCAAAAGAGGTGGGTGAACCCACTTTTAAAAATAAAACAAAAAGCATTTTTGAATGCATGAAGGGAATTGGTCTGAGAGAAAGTTAAATGTTGTGAATTCTTTTCTTTCTTTCCTGGATTTCTTGTGTGTGTGTGTGTGTGTGTGTGTGTGTGTGTGTGTACATATGTGTGAGTTCATGTTTGCATATATGTGTACATGTGTGTATGTGAATATGTTTGTTATACATGTGTGGGTGCCCGTGCAAGTGTGTGCACCTAAGTGTAGAGGTTGGAGATCTATTTTCAGTGTCTTTCTCAGTAGCTCTACATTATTTTTTGAGACAAGATCTCTCTGTCTGAGCCTGGAGCTCACTAGTCTAACTAAACTATATATATATCCAGGTTTTGGAAGAAGAATCCAAAACATTTATGTAGATAGTTAAATAAACTTGTCTTGATGCTCTAAAATTAGAAGATAAGCCCATTTCGTATACAAACAGGGACTTGGTCTAAGATATATTTTAGAAAACACCCCTCTGTGAACCCTGTTCACCACAACAGTGGCCATGCTCTTTGGCACCTGTAAATGCCAATTTCCATTTCTCTAAGAATGTGATTAGTTGGGAATGTGATTAGCTAGAGGTCCTGACTGTGGCAGACTCTGCCAGCCCTTGGTACCTGGCATGGCATAGAAGAGCAAACATGGTGAGACGGGGAGGAGGCTGGGTATAAGGTTAGCATATGTGAACAGAGGCCTCAGTTGAACTCATGGTCTAGAGATGTTCACAGAGCACACCACATAGGTGCTCATGAACAGAAGTCACATCACCGAGAAAACTGCCTTAAGAATCATGTTTGTATTATTTACTATTGATATTAGTCCTTACATCTTTAGTATAGTAATTCTATGTGCTATATAATAGTGATGCTTTGACAGCATAATTTTTGTATAGGAAATATTTTAACTGTGTGGTTTACTTTTGTCTATTAGTTTTCCTAAGGCAAGACACAAGCAACCCAGCGCTCTCTGTTAAGGGAATTCTTGTAGTTTAAACACTTTGTGGGGTGCAGATGGCACTGAGAAGGGGCGCCTTCTTGTGTTATAGATAAATAAATGAAGGTCAGTATGACATCAATACAAAATCAGGCCTCGGGAGCTCAGTTCCCTGGCTCCTGGGTCCCCTGTATTAATGAATAATATGTCTGGTATACAGAGATCTGGGTAGAAATATCTACTTTACTGAAGACAAAAAGGCAAGATCTCTTTTTTCTCTCAGTGAAAAGCTCATAATTGAACTGACTTTAAAACTGTTTATTCTTTTGTACAAAATATTATAATTTCTTTCTCATGAATGTGCTTAAAGAAGAAATCCTTTGGTTTTGTTAGTGGCTCTTGGGACTAGGATTTTTTTTTTTTGGCTGTTTAAGAAGATCGATGGAATTCTGTATTTTCTCAGGACAGGGTTTCTCTGTGTACCTGGTTGTCCTGGAATTCACTGTGTAGACCACACTGGTCTTGAACTCAAGATATCCACCTGCCTCTGCCTCCTGAATGCTGGGATTAAAGACATGGGCCACCCTGCCTGGCAAGATCCATGGAATTCTTTAGGTGAGAAAGTCCTCAGTTTTCTGGTATGTGTGCCTGTGTGCATGTGCATGTTTGTTTTCTGGTGTGTGTGCCCGTGTGCATGTACACGTGCATGTGCAAACATAAGGAGGTATGTGTGGAAGACCTCTAGCTCCATCCATCTGATATTCACACGTGTAGTCTTTCCCCCTAATTAATTAGAAGTACTAGCTTTCCATAGTTTCTGCTAGGGAGTAAAGTGGGAAATTATTTAATTGGCTGTCTTGCTTTCAAAGCCCAGTTTAATGAAATAGTTCTCACCCTGAAGTGCATGTATTATCTTTCCTGTTATTTTTACAATTAACATTTCATTGGATCACATCTGTGTGGAATATTCTAATTGGTTTCTAGGGTGGGGGCAGATGGAGAGATAGCCCAAGTGCTGGGGTATGTACTGGTGGGACCACAGGGTCTCTCTGGGCTTTTCCTTATGACAGGGTGCTTGAGAAGTCTTGTCCTGTTACTTTATTTACCCTTAGGGACTAGAGAGGGGTCATAACAGTCCCTCTAAAAAGATAGACTGGTTGATGCATCCATCAGATAGAGAGATGACTCTGAGACACTTTACAAGGTCCCGGGCTACCTCGCAATGTACAATGAATGCCTCCTACAGCTTCCTATGAACACTGTCCCATTGAAGGCAAGGGATCTGTTTTGTCAACTACGTAGGAGATTTGCTGTAGAAAGATTTGCTAGAAGAATGGGCATTTGGAGAAATCCCATGATACCTTCCCTGACTTGCCCTTCTGTGTGGAAGCAGAGAATTAGAGGTCGTTGTGAAGTGGGGCAGAGAGTAAGGTGGCAAGCCAGGCACTGCGGCAAACACCAAGAAGCCTTTCTCTTACACGCAAATGCACAGGTGCAAGAGTGGGTGCCTTCTTATGTCTTACTCTAGATGTCCCCTAGCCTGCAACTAGAAAAACATCCTGTCCTCCTTGCTCCAGTAACGCTGGCCCTCAGCCAGCCCAAGATTCAATGATGCTACCATTTAAATATCTCACGGTACTGTCCGTATCCCTCACAATCCCATATGGCATTGGGCCCTGCTTGTGTCTTGGCTCTGTGTCTTGGTTCTTTCATCTTCACTGTACAGTTCTGATATATGTATTTTCCCTATCCCTGGGTATTTCTGAACCAGCACTCAACTGTTTTAAGGACCAACCGGCATTTTATAGGCTGAGAGGTGAAAGACTCTCTGTGCTTGGTCTCCCGCTGCCTAGAGGCCTGGATCCATATTTGACTTGGAAAGAAGAGCTGGTAGGTTGTCTCCGTGAGCATCCTTCAGCTCATCTGGGAGAAACGGATAATTTGAGGCATGGGACAGGGACAGGGGCAGGCTCAAACAAAACTATGTAGCTGATCTAAGAGAGACCACAGAGAAAGGGGTCACTGTAGGCAGACGTAGAAAGAAGCCACAGCCACTCATACCTCCCCCATTGCAAGATAGCCTGGGGTGTGTTGTGTATGTACAGGGTAAGGGGACGTACTTGCTCATTTTATTTGCTTCAAGATGACAGATCTGTAAAGCCACTTGCAAACTGGAAGGTCTTAGCATATATATATATATATATATATTTCCCCTCTGTGTCTGCCATGTGAGCACAGAATGAGGAAAATGCAGCTGTTCTGGGGTGGCTTTCGTGGCCATTTCAACCCAGCAAGTTTTGCTGGGATTCTCCATCTAGTCTTGTCCTGACACTTAGCCACTTTTTTCCTCCTAAAGGCGTCTTGGAATTTTAGCTACATGCAGGACCATGTGGCATTCTTCTGTTGAGAAGGCCTGGGTATAGGCTTCTCTTAGCCAGATGGCTAATGTTGGGGAGAGCTGAGAGAACTTCCCAGAAACCAGGCCTTACTTCACAGGGACTGAATAAGGTTTTGGGTTTCCAAGTTGATGGATCCTGAAGGTCTGCTAACCAGCTCCAGCCCAGTGTGTCTACTGATATGACAATGTCTTGTGTCAAGCAACGCTTAGTTGAGATATTCTCAAGTGTTTCAGAGACCATGCCAAAGTCTTCTGAGGCTAGCGATTGGCTCTGTTACAGGAGAGTATATAGTTGGCCCAGGGATACCACATCTACCCACTCAATTTCTATAGGAGTTCCTATAGAAATGTTTGGGAATGGTCAGATAACATTTGCTGTCACTGAACTGCCAACTCCCTGGGAAGCCTGCTATAGGCAGATGTCATACCAGGGAAATGGGGACCAGATGTACTCAAGATCTCAAAAGAAATTAATGGCAATAAGACTCTGGGGTAAAAATATCTGTGTGCTTGTTCACTGAGCTTGTTCACTCAGCTCCTGTTCTATCTAAGGATCATTTAGGCTTAATTATAGAGTTCAGGCGTTCATTGGGTTTTTGATTAATTTTCTTTTCAGCCCGGAGAGTGTGTGAGTGTGGTAGGTCTTTGTCTGTGCGTGTGCATGTGTGTGAGTGTATGTGTGTGCGTTTTATATCGTTCTTTGCAACTCAGTTGGGAGCTGGCTCTAGCAATGTTTAATTGTGCCCTCCGCTCTTAACAAGAACATTCAATGTGCCAAAAAGGCCTTGGAAAGCCATTGTTTTCACTGCCTCCGCCCCATGGGCTGCTCCTGTGCAGGCATTGAGGGCCTGCGGGTGGTGGGGCACTGCTCAGCTGGGACCTCAGCCTTAGGATGCCTGCTTCCTGCCTGTCTTTGTACTTGGCGTTGTTTAAGGGATTCGGAGACCAGGGAACAGCTTTCCTTACTCCATTAATTACAAGTGACAGCCACCTCCCCCACACCACAGTCCCTGACAGGCATTTTTCTTGGCCAACCTCCCTGGGGATTACAAGGCTCTTTGAGGAAGAAAACAGCTTTCATTCTCTCATTTTTAATGACTCCACTTGGTAGGTAGGGGAGGACTACATGACTGTGCAGGTGACAGTGACCTGCCTTCTCCTTTTCTTTCTTCTCCTTTGTGCTAAGGAGTAAACTAAGGGACAGCACCATACAGAGGGAGAAAATGGGGGTTTGAGTCAAAAAGGCCCAGTTTGAATCCCGGCTCTTGGTATTTTTTTGTTTGTGTTCCTGTGGATATATCATTTAACCTCTTTGGTCTCAATTCGCTATTTGTAAAATGTGGACAATAACACCAACACCGCCACCACCACCACCACCACCACCATTGAATGACCCTTCTTATAAGATGAACTGTGGACGAGAAAACGCATGTGGAGGCCTTTTGTAAAATCTTTTACAAATCATTGCTATTTTATTTTACTATGCAGAGTTGTGTTTTAGACCAGGATTTTGGCCTTTGAGGTATTTGTTGCAGGGGTGGGGGTGGAATCCAAAATGATTCATTGGAAGGAAAGCAGAAAGGGGACCAGCCTCCAGCCTCCGATGTGTTGTGGACTACAGCAATGACCTGAGGATATGGTATGCATACAGCAGAGAACAAAGATTAAGGGTTTAGTATCAAAACAGCTGTCACAGACAGAAAGCAATCTGGAATGTTCATTTTTTCAACATTGTAATGAAAGGGTTCTGGACCCAATTGTTTTTCATTTCTAGGCTAATTGATTTGTGGGTGAATGATTCTGGGACAATGACAGTGTTTCTGGCTGGAGACAAGGGAAGACCCCAGGTCCCAGGTAATGTGCCTGTATTGTAAGCTGGGATCTGGGAGACTCGGGCCTTCTCTTGGCCTGTGCTGATTAGGTTTGTGATCCTGAATAGATGACCTAATTAAAATGGGTCTCAATTTCCTTGGAGATCATGGACTAGAAGATCTCAAAGGTGACCTCATTTAAGATCTGATGAAATGTTGTTTCAAATACAAGAGGTTAAAGCTGTTGTGCCACTAAGAAACCTATACAGAACCCAGATATAGTCTGGAGACCACCACACTAACACCAAAGACACAGAATGAGCCCCCTTTGAAACTGATGTCTGGCAACAGACCATCTGTTCTCAAGGGAATGCAGGCCGATGGGAAGATGTAGGTGACCCTAGCAGAGATCTCAAGGTTAATTCTTGCCCGTAAGAGAGCCCTTTGCTTGACAATATCCTGACTAAGCTAAAAGGCAATGATCCACAGATATCGAGAAAGGGAGTCATCTCCTTGTAAAACAATGATAACTTTAACATAATTGGCTACTGGGAAATTGAGTGTTCTGCCAGATTGACTTCAAACTGAGAGAGAGAGAGAGTTTACAGAAGTAACAAGTGACAATGGTAATGCATATTTGCATAGTGCTTTTACCTTTTATAAGCCCTTTCCCATATTTTTTCATTATAACATTTCCCAGAAAATCACCTGGGGGTAATTTATTTTAAAAATCTGGAGTGATTCTTCTTAAGGAGGAATAAGTCTAGGTAAGCAAATGCTGCACCTTCTTTGTAAGTATAGACAGCTCTTTGAAAAGTTATATTTTATGGAAATATAATTGTGTGAGTCATATCTTAATGTTCTAGGGACATTTAAAGACTGAAACCTTGCACAGGATTTTTAATATAAACTCTTTCTTATTCATCTGTTGTTACAATTTTAGATGTTAAAAAAATCAGGTTTTCTTAAAGTGGTTTGCATTCCAAGATCAGCATCCACCGTCCCAAATCTCATGAAAGTGGCATCTAATTCAACGAGGGAGAGATTGGTGTTTCTGATGTCAGCATGGAAAATAAGCAGCTTTACTCTTCAGCCTGTAGCTCTCTGAGGTCAGCTCTGCCATGAAAAAGTAGGGAAGCATGGGGAAGGGACAGGGGAATCCAAAAGTAATAGCTGAATTATTTCTAAACAGAATTATTTCCAGATAGAGTTTGTGCAAATCACCAATGGGCATTGATGCATTGTTAGAAATGTCTTGCCATTAGTAACTAGTCTATGAAAGAGAAGCTGATGATTGGGGTGTGAAGTTAGTGCTATATAATTATGAGTAGCATCCTCTGGGGCAAGAGCATGAAAGAAATTAGACTGCAGTGCATTTAAAGAAAAAAGCAATGAGCAAGCCTCCGGGGTTAGCATTCTCTGTCCCCAAACTCTGGCAGATTTGGAGACAATGACAGGATCTGTATAATGGCTCCAGACTTGGCATCTCTCATCTCTGAAATTAGTCTTGAAGAATTTACTTATTCAATGTACCACATTGTGAGAATTCTGTAGTTCGTTTGCACGGGGAGTTTCTGAACAAGGAAGGATCTATCTCACAATCTTCACTATTAAGAATAACAAGGAAAACTCTCTTTTTTGTGTGTGGGGAGGATGATTTAGGAAAGGATTGGAAATCTGTAAATACTGGAAACCTTTCAGAGAGTCTTACACTGCCTGACTAAAGGACATTTGGCTTCCCACCTTTCTTGGCTGGGTCTCAGCAACACAAGTTTGTTCAAGGTAAGTGCTCAGATTTTCACTAAACAAGTAGGAAGAATTTTCATCCTACGGCTGAACAAGCAGTTAAAGTTGAATTTTTATAAGTATAGCTGACGTTAACCTATGTGGACTTACAGTGTGTGTACTATGTGTGTTTAAAGGCCATTGATGAATATTCAGGCACTACTGGCAAGACTAGCTGCTATTATCTCTGAATACACAAGTGCATGCACAGATGTGTGCATTTCCCGAGCCCAAACAATTCAGAGACTAAGACTTGAAAGTATTGTTCTCGTTTGTTGAGATGTTCCCGAAGCCCTACATGAATGGGTGGCTATACATCTTTGTAAATTGAGGGTTGGTGAGGAATCTGTAGCTGTAAACGAAGTCACAGATTGAGTCACTAAAATCTCAGGAGGGACCCAGTGCCATCGTTACTACAGAAAAAACGGGAACTACATGTCCAATACCGTGACTGACAACACTTAGAATGAGCCCTCTCTTTGGAAAGAGGGGAGTGGATGGAAGCAGTGTGGCTCCACCAGGGTTGCTGACATCAGCACTTTGGACAGTTCCCAGGACAGTTCTCACTCAGGGCAAAGGGCTCACACCACCACCACCTTTCCAGTTTAAGTGTTCCTCTCGTTCCAGTGGGTGTGTCGACAATCTGATCATCAACTAATAACTGATATTAATCTGCAGCAACAACTTCGTCTTCTCTCTCCCCATCACCCAGTATCTTTCACCCAACTCCCCAACACCCTCCAGTCACACACATGGGGACTGTCTTACGAACACCTGGTGTGGATGTTTCCACTCGGGCTTCTAATTGGTTGGGAAGCAGCATCCGCCACAGGCACTGTTTAGTTTCATTTACATCCCCTGCATCTCACAGGAAAGAAATGGTCAATAGTTCAAATAAAAGAATCATCCCGGTCAGCTGCAAAATATGGCTACTTGCATGGTAATCACAGCAAGTCTGTCAAATCAGTGATTTCTTTATTCCTAAGAAGAAGGGGCTTTTCCTAAGGGATATGGTTCTACCACCCAAGGAGCAGCTGTACTCTTCACAAGTAGCTGCAGAGGCTGGCAAACCAAGAGGTCTGCTTTGGCTCAGAAACTCAGTTTGGCTCCTGCCACCCCTGGCAACCCCACTGCGTGTCTCAATGGCATGTGTTCCACACACAGTTGGGCAGTCTGCTTCTACTTAGGAGGTATCACAACCAGAGGTGGCCCCCGCTTGGGCCTCCACATGAGGACCTGGGCATCGTTGGCATTGGGCTTCACTAGTGCGTTAGGGGGGATGGGTTCCATCCGGCTCAGAATCCGGGGCTGCTCCTGCTGAGTCCTGCCCACGAGCCGGGCCCGCTGCCCCAACAGCTGCAGGGGGTCCACTTCAATGTCCACTCTCATCCTCCACTTGATGGTCTGCAGAATGATCTTCTCCTTTGTGGTGGTGTTCATGGCCACCAGCCAGGTGGTAAAACTTTGGTCCCTCTTGATTCTTGTGAGAAGTGGCACGTTGCTGTCACTCACTGGCACTGCCCATGTCACACTGGGGTAAAAGTTATCATTCATGCTGACGGAGAACCTGGAGATCTTGTTGGTGGGGCCAACCAGGGTCACAGTTTCTGTAGTGTTCCCGTACCAGGGGTAGCTCACCCCATCTGAGTCACTGATGGCTTTTACTCTCCCTTCCCTCAAGTCAGGCAGTTCCCAGCTTGACCTGGCAAAACAAAAGGGATACACAAGAAAAGGCTGAATGATTTTTTTTTTAATTGGACAGGTGCCCACCACTTAACTAACACAGTCAAGTTGGGAAAAATGGGAAGTTGGGAGGGGGAATTTAGATAAAAAATTTCTATGTTAGGCTGTATCAGGACTAAATGAGAAAAAAAATCACAATGAAACACAGTGCCAAAATAAGTTAAATAAAAGCCTAGCTGACCCAATGGAAAACATGCCAAAAGAAACAGTGATGAGACCACAAATAGCTGTCAACTCATTGGAATGATGGCGACGAGCAGTTAAGAAGTAACCCATGACAGGATGCACCTTTTTGGGGAAGAATATGTTTCAATAAGGTTTGACCTCTGGAAGAGGTGATATAAAATTTAATGTACTTGGAAGTGTGTAACAGAAGGAAAGGAAAAGAGGGGTAAAAGAAGTGAAATTCAACATTATATTAATTTCTTAGAAAAGCCACAGTAGTAGAATTTCTATTCTACATTGTATCTTTAAATTCTACCATTAAACCAAACCAGCACTCAGAAAACACAGAAAAAGAAAAGCTGTGATGGAGTACCAGTCACTTTTCCACTAAAGCGAAAATGCTTTGTGGAAATGCTGTAGGCTGGCTCGCATGCTCCCTCACACACTGCTCTCCCCTTGGCTTAGTGTCCTGGCTGGAATCTTCATCACCTTGTTTGTGACCTTGGCATTCTGAATGCTCTCTACTCTTCCTGTCCATCTCCCATCCTTGGACAGAATGATAGGGCAGAACATGTTCTTAGTCCATGTACCTCCTTCCAGAGGATGTTGCGTATAATGACGATAATGGTCATGACTGATAGTTACGGAGCACTTACCCCGCCCCAACCACTGTGGTAAGTACTCTGCTATCGCAGCTCATGTCCAGAAGATACCATGCTATTATAACTGGACTTTTTTTCTATTTTTTTCACACGAGAGGCTTAAAATATTGGTATGTATCAAGTGTCCTACAGATTCTCAGAGGTTAAGGTTAGATTGTTTTACTCCAGAGTCTATGATTTTGACCATTGTATCTTACTGCTTCCAAGTATCCATACATGGTAATGGGAGAAGCCATTGTAAAGGGAACTTATGCTGTACAATGATCTAACCAACAGCCCTTAGCACGGTCATGGGGAAATTGAATGGAGCCTAATAGGGACATTCTACATATTTCTACCCCTGGAACCAGGAATGAAAGCAATGCTTGGTAACGATGCCTATAATTCAATAATTAAAGAGTGGTGAATTTTCCATTTATTAGCTAAGAGGGGTGGTGGCCTTGTTTGATATAAAGTTCTTCCCCTTCAAAGATGACAGAAGATCCTGAAGGCCTTATCCAAATGGTAGAAAAGGGAGTTACATGCTCAAGCTGCTACCGATAATGTCTCAGCATCCCCTGCTAGGGAGCATGAAAACACTTAACTGCTGCTTCTGGCCACCCCCATGGTACTTTCTATGCCAGTCATCCCATCACAAGTGAAGGGAGGGCTGGACTGCCTGGGGGAGGGGAGCCTACAGCTGCAAGAGGCTTTTCTCTTGTCTTCATGCCCTTGATAACTGTTGAGAATAATTGTAGTGTATTATGGTTGGCAGAAGCTAAGTAACAGAAAACTGACCTGATACAAAGTCAGAGTGCTCATCTTACTATGAATGCTGGTGTACTGTGCTGGGCGGAGCTCCCAGATCATGCTGTAGCTGTCTTCCTTCCTTCCTTCCTTCCTTCCTTCCTTCCTTCCTTCCTTCCTTCCTTCCTTCCACCTGCCCTCCCTCTCTTTTTGAGACAGAGTCTCTCTCTATAGCCCTGGCTGGCTTGGAATGTGCTATATAGACCAGGTTGGCTTTGAACTCAGAGATCTGTGTGCTTCTGACTCCCCAGATGCTGGATTTAAAAATATTCATCCTAAAAAAAATTCACCACTATGCCTAGCACCCCCCCACAGATTATAATATTTTCTTCTTTCTTTCCTCTAAACCCTCCCATATATCTCTCCTGGTTCTCCTTGAAATTCATGGCCTCTTTTAAAAATCAACTGTTAATACACACACACACACACACACACACACACACACACACACACACACACATATTCATAAATACATATATAAATATACATATATTGCCACTTCTTACTGTATAGAAAGGAGTGCATGTTGTTTGAGTGTAATATAATTATGTATGCCATTGTGGTAGAGAACCAATTGGCTAATCTGCTTTCTGGGTTCATGAAATGACCACATTGAAGTCACTGTGCACCAACTAAGGAGCCAAGTCAATGTCTATCATTGGACATTGTTTCCAAACCTCAGTTTTTATTTTGATTCGTGGCCAAGCACTCTGACACTTTCTGAGTAGCCAGAGGACAGGCCTTCCCAGCAGTGCTAGGTCAGGCTTGCTCCCCTGCCCTTCTCACAGCCAATTGTGCTGTGTCTAGTCTGGAGAATTCTGTTTCCAGTCAATGCATTCCTTGCTTCACTACAGTTCAAGTGGATTCACTCCTTGTTCCACTGCAACGCTGAGCTTTTCAGGACTAGGTATCTTGATGATCAATCCAATTCCTTTGTCCATAGCTGAGTTACCATCCACATTTTGCCGTCATCTTGCTGCCCAGAGACAAGGGCAGAGACCTGAGCCCACGCTCTAGAAGGTCAGTCTGGTTGGGAGATAATAAAACTTAGTTTGGTTCCAGGTTTTCTCATGAATGGAGATGGTGTAATGAGGAGCACAAGCATGCCTGTCTCAGAAATGAAGGAAGAGAATTGTCTCATAGGATGCAGAGAGCTGTCTCACAGGATGCTCTGGAATGCATCAATATCCTAAGCTTCTTAGGTACCACATCCCAGCAAGGATGGATCAGGCTGAGTGTAGTCTTGTGTTTGTGACCTTAGCTAGCTACATATCTGTCTTGTTGTGGCTTCTGTTTTAGAGCTGCTTGAGTTCAAAGCAGGATCTCTCCCACAGCCCCATGGAACCAGTATCTACATTATGGAGAGGCGGCTTAATTTAGTAAATAACAAAATTCATTATGACTTAAGTCTAGTGAAAGGGGAATGGCTTTCTATCAGAAAATTATCATATTTTTATTTCTTCTATGAAAATTAGATATTTATTTCCAGGCAGTGGCTTGAAAGAGCTTTGCCTATAAAATGTTTAACTGGTTTATGTAGATGAGGTGTCACTGGCAATGGTTTTCAGAGAGGTCCTTGCGAAGCTCCAACAACGGTAGCCTGGAGTCCCTTGGTGGCTGATAAGAGGACTTTTGTGATCAGAAGGCACCTCAGATTCCTCAAAGTCCAAACAGAACTCCCCATCTCCACCTTAGAGCTGGACCTTTCCCTCTCTGCCGCATCCAACCTTTTAGGTCAGAAGTGAGGGCCACATTTGAGTCTTCCCACCCCTCACAAGGCCACTACAGCCACTACACATCACCTTGTGACTTTTGACTTACAAATCATGTGTGGATTTATTTCTTTTTCTCTACCCACCCCTCACTGCTTTCATTTAATCCAAGCCTTTAGCATCTCCTAAACGGTGTCCTGTCATGACCCCCCAACTGGCCTCTGCATTCAAAGCCGGCTTCCCTCCACTTCATCTTGTAGGCTGCACAAGTTCTCAAACTTGTTGGCTCTATGCATAAAATGCTTCTATGAGTCCTTTACAGGGAAATCACCGGGTCACTCACAGGATAAAATGTGAGTTCTTCACTGGCACAGACCTGGCTCACTGTGATCTGTCCTCTCTGCCCCCATGTACCACGCTGTTCTTTCCCTCCCTCCTTAGCTCTTGCTCATCCTTTGCTCACACTGCTTATCTTCCTAATAAAACTCCACTATATCTAACCACTCGCCCTTTGGGAATCATCAGAAGCCACAACAGGAAGACCAATATTTCCACCAACCTATGGGTGTGTTCAGATTGATGAGTGCTGGATTATATCTTAACTTTTAGTTTTATGCCTCTTTCTTGATTAGATGTCAATGTCCTTGGAATTATGACTTACTTTTGAATCAGTATCTAGTACATAGCTGGCACACAGCTAACATTTATTATTTCTTGGATGGATCCACCCCTGATTATATGAGCACCACAAACTGGATTCAGTCTGTTTAACACACACACACACACACACACACACACACACACACACACAATGAAGTTAGGAGGAAGAGTGGGAAGGGAGGAGTGGATCTGGGAGGAATTAGGTCCAGGAGGGAGTAGAAAGGGTGAATACAATCAAAATACATTGTATGCACTTCAAAGAATTAATAAACTATATTTTGAAACCTTAATATTTCTCAAAGGACTAAATATTGTGTTGGAGCTCATGCCTTTCAGTGTGGGGTTTGACAGAACTTGTGCACAACAGAGTCTGTTACCACAGCTCTACACTTTATGTATTTGCTCACTCCCAAAACCCTAACATCTATTATTCATTTAGAATCTATTATTAGGATAGCTGCACACCTTGCACTGAATGTTATTTGTCTTCGGGGGAGGCAAGCCACATTTCAAATGAGTGAATTAGTAAGCACAAATGTATTTCAGAGACTATTTTTGCCAGCACATAGCAAACATATGAAAATGAGTAGCACAAACTCCCAAGTGCTACTGGCTCCGGATGTGTAGAGATCCACAAAGGCAAGAGCTGGGGTGGGGGCGCCCTGCAGAGGAAATGGGTTATGGGCGATAAAGACAGAGCTTCTCAGCTGGGAGGTTTCATCAAAGGCCAAAGTAACATCAAGCATGAGAAGGAATGCCCAGGAAGCAGATGGGTTGACTTGGGGAAGTGAATGTAGGCAAGAGTGAGAATGAAGTGGTGGTCTTGGCTTGATGGGTGTCTTTGGCATTCAGACATCATCTTAGAGGTGGAGGGATTTGCAATGGAGGCTCCTGGGCCAGCCATGGTCAGGTTCAAAGGAGAACTTGCTTGTTGGAGGGAGAGAGGGCAAGGATGAACAGAAACTTTTGCAACA